TCTTCCTGGCTGTTCATACTGTATCTCGACAGCTGTTTACAGAAGCTGAAAAATTGCTATTTGGGTGTGAAATTGGGTGGCATTAAAGTAAATTGTCTGCTGTATGCTGATACGCAGTGCTTATTGCACCATCTGAAGCAGAACTGCAGGCATTAGTAACGTGTATGAAAGAGGAATGTGAAATTAAAGGTCTCCGTTTGAATGCTAATAAAACTAAGGTTCTGGTATTTAAAAAGGACGAAGAGAGAACGAAATGTGAAATATGGGTTAATCAGGAATGTCTAGAACAGGTAAATGAAATTATATACTTGGGGAGTGCTTTCAGCCGGGATGGAAGATGTGATTTAGATGTGGACGGGCGTGTCGCTGCCGGGAACAAAGTCAATGGTGCCCTGAATGCGTTAGTCAAAAGGCAAGGCGTAGTGAAGAGTGCACGCACGAATACATAACGCAGTGTTGGTACCGACTTTGTTATATGGCAGCGAAACCTGGGTATGCCAGAAGAAGCATAAAAGCAAGTTCAATGCAGTGGAGATGCGATCTCTTCGTAAAATGTGCGGCGTTACCATAGCCGACCGAAAGCGAAACAAAGAGATTCGCAATATGGCAGGATTGAAAGGATGATCTTATCATAAAAATTGATAGGGGCGTACTCCGATGGTTTGGGCACGTTGAGCGAATGAGTGAAGACCGAATGGTGAAGAAAATATATAGCGCGAAAGTAAATATTAAAAGGTGTCGAGGTAGACCGAGACTAACTTTCGAAGACCATGTGAGCAAATTACTCGAAGAGGGGAAGGTCAAGAGTACTCGGATACCTAGACTTGCATGTATGAAGAAGATAATGAACCTGAAAGAAGCGAAAGAGGTATGTAAGGATGGTGACACTTGGCGATCTGATCTCTCTGGCTACCCCGTTAGGGATTGTGCTAAGTGAAGATAAGTAAGTAGTATGTAAGTAATAAATAAAAATGACTGAAGAATTGTTCTAATACGTACCAAAAAACGAGTAAAGAGTAAGTATTACTCATTCTTAGAAAAGGTAGTTAGTTACATTACCGAATAAAAAGTCCCGACGCATTAGTTATTCAATTGACGCTGGTTTGGAAAAGATAATAACTTATCTATAGCTTCACGTGAGGGTTTTGTGGTGAACACTGACTAACAAACCACAGACGTACCTAAACGTAAGTCCTAATTATCCTTGTACAGCTCGATGATGTCCAGGTGAATTTCGATTCCTTATTCCAGATTTCATGTATCTTTATTCTTAAAATAAAATCCTTGTTCTGTCTTCTATATACAGTTTCGTCATCATTTTTTTTCTTCTATATCGTTGGTCTAGTGATCGTAACCGCGATTGCTGATTGTGAGGTTCGAATCCCGGGTCAAGGCAAAAGCTGTTATTGGGTTTTTCTGTCAAGAAGTTGTCAGTAGTAGTCTGGAGTGAGAAATTGGCGGTTTCCACCTCCGAGCTTCAGAAAGCACAAAAAGCCATTAGTCCTGCGCGTGATCTCTCTCAGGTCGTGTCGGAGTACCGTCTCATCGAACTATGAGAGTGAGAGAATGGAGAGTGCACGTGTGCTTGCGCATACACTCGAGGACTATAATCCTGTTCTGTGCAGATGGCTAGTCTATGTAGAGACTAGTGGCCGTGACTGCAATTCGACTTAAGGAATGTCCTCAGCTCGTAAAAGTCCTCTGCTGAAAATAGATGCCTCCCGTTGTAGGCAGGATTTGACATAAACGTCACGCTTGCCAGGCGTATTGATAACTGCATATTCAGACTTTTTTATTATAGAACAATGTTTACAAACGAGCACACAGTCCACCTGATAGTAAGTGGTTGCTGTGGGCCATAGACATTTATATCTATCCTGGATAGACAAAATACAGATGCGTCGACGTTCCTGAAGACTGAGATGGATGCAAGGGTCTCCGATTCTCGACGCTTATAATATTACGGAGCTGCATTATTCTACTGCTTTTAGACTGGTAGAGTGGATCACGGTCAACTTCATCTATTCCCAATTAACTACCTGGTAAAGCCATGCTGCAGCTATATTATGGTTGTATCGCGAATAGGTTAGCTCGACCGGGGTAGGATCACAGAATATCATCTGTCAAATAGCAGATCATTGCGGCAACAAACACAGCAGTGTTTCATATAGTAAATGAAGAGAACAGAGGACGCTTTTTCCTGGAAACGAGGCATTCCATCTTAGTACTTAGGGGTGGCATCGTATTTACAATTCTAATATTTCATATCAACACTCAATCATCATGGGGCCCACCTAATTAATATAAATAAAACGCATAAAATCCGTAAGTAGTTTTAATCAATATTGATTCTTAATTGAGGATAGATGTAGCTATGAACCACAGCATCCACTTACCGTCAGATGGATTGTGTGCTCGTTTGCCACTCCTATTCTATAAAAAAAGAATCAAAACGCAGAATGCGTCGTCGCTCCTGAAGACGAAGATGGCATGCCTCGGTAACAGTAAAAAGGGTCTCTGGTTCTCTACACTCATCATATTAAAGAGCATTATTGTACCGTATTACGCAGGTTTTCTCTTAGCTCTTCAAGCGCCATAAAAATCCATGGAGTCGTATGCGCCCGTCAAATCGGGACTTTAAACCATTAAAACTTATATTTAGAGACTACTTTTCTATGAAGAAGTTTAGTATTATAAAATTTTTACAAAATTTTCTATGTTGTGGTCTAAACAAAAGTCAGGTTTTACTTCATTACAAAAGGATTTTATTGTATTTTAATAACAAAAAAAAACATACCAAGTGAATGTCGGCAGCGTGAAAATCACAATTATTTCAATATATATTAACTCGAAATTGTTTACGCAAAAAGATAAATTATACTCACACAAAAACTTTCATTACAATTTTATAATAAAACACTACTAAAACACTAATAAAACACTAGAAAAATCCAAAAATCAACACAACAACATTCACGCGAAAATGGCGTACGAAATGAACGTAGATTATTAATAAATATTCATAAGATAAAAGTTTTTTTATTACACTAGAGGATAGAGTATTTCATATTGATTATATAATGCCAAACTTTTTCATGAAAAAGTAGTCTCTATATATAAGCTTTATGGTTTAAAGTGCTGTGGGTACCCACCCACATGAGACCGCTAGGGATTTGACGGAATATGGCCGTTGTCTCATGAGACCGCTAGGGGGTTGAGAGGTTAGTTGAGTAGACTCATTCATGCTGCAGCTATGGAGCTCTACCACGTAATTTTTGTATTTTGTATTTTGATTTTTAATTGACCATATATCTATATGGGCTAATAGCTTCCATTTACAATAACTATATGTTTCTTTGCTTTAGGTCTTAAGATGAACATGGACAAAACAAAGATCGAATGTAATGTCCATGTCACACCTATACCGTTAATTATTGGGAGCATTATGCTCGAAGTTGTTGACGAATACGTTTACCTGGGACAAATAGTCCAAATAGGTAAGTTCAACTTCGACCGCGAGGTCAATCGGCGGATTCAACTCGGCTGGGCAGTGTTTGGGAAATTACGACACATTTTTTCGTCAGTCGTATACCTCAAAACCTGAAAACTAGATTGTACAACCAGTGCGTGTTGCCAGTGGTGACTTATAGATCGTAGACGTGGTCCTTCACTGCTGGCCGTACGAGTTCGCTCAACTTCGCGCAGCGGACTATGAAGAGGGGTTTCTTTGCGTGATAGACTCAAAAATGAGCATATCCGCAGTAGAACCAGAGTGACTGACAAATGTATATTTTCTGAGATTACTACAATGTAAAAGCGCCCCGAGAATGAATTACTGACTCGCTAGAGTTGAGTAGCTGGTACTACTAACTTGTCTATTCCTAGTATTTGCAGAATGAAAATCACTTATTTTTGTAAAACTACTTTAATTTTTGTGTGTGTATATTATATATAAGCCTAATGGATTAGTAAGATGAAGTGGCAATTGGCCGGCCATATGATGGAAACCCGCTAGATGGAGAGACGACCTGTTAAGACATGCTGGAAGTCGATGGATGCAGGTGCCTCAGGACCGTGCTTTCTAGCATTCCTTGGGGGGGGGGGCTATGTTCAGCAGTGGACTTGTAAAGGGCTGTAATGATGATGATGATGATATGTTTCATTATCTAACTTATATAAAAAAGGGGGCCAAAATAATGCTTAGTCATCGACCATATATTCGAATATTTGACGAGTCAGCACTTACGAACCTTTTTCTCCGAATTTTACTTTGAGCTTATAACTTTTGTTCGGACGATAAAACCCGTTTTACGCCTTTCGTCATTATTTTTTTACTGACCTATAAAAATTCAGCAGTTTTCTTGTTCCATGTCTTCTTAGAATGTGATAGTGTCAATATCAACCGACTACAATTACTTTTTAATAAAATAAGGGTAACAAGCAAGTACTCTGTCCAACTGAAGGCAAGTAGATGACGTGGCCCATAGACATCTACATCTATCCTCGATTAAGAATCAAAATGTAGATGCGTCATCACCCTTACTTATATAAAATGCCGCGTTTCCAGTAACAAGGGTCTCCGGTTCTCTACACTCACCATATGAAAAACAGCAGTATTAAGCTGCTATTCTAAGCTGGTATTCTGTGAGAGCATGGTTCTTCCCCGGTCGAGCCGAGCCATTCGTGCTACAGCCTTAATATAGTTGCGGCGTGGCTCTACCACGTAGGCGTCTTACCATTGTTTTGCCATCAGGCGGACTGTGCTCGATTTTCACGTTTTCACCTATATACAATTATAGTAAATTTCAAGCGACAGTAGCTTAATGGCAGGTGCCGGACTCAAATTGGTCGTGGGTTCGAACCTGCCATTTGAATACCGGCGTGAACCACTCCTAACACAAGCATTTTCAAGCTTACCAGGAGTGGTGAAAGAGAATATTCGTAATGGTAATATTGCTGGTATTTTTTTAATTTAGAAAAAAAATGTGGTAGTTACTCACTTGCTAGGTCTCGTCATCCCGTAATATCTGTGCTCCGTATAGAACAGTCCTGCACCGGTCGCGTTGGCCAGCTCATACGCCAGCCCCCCGGTCAACCAGCCGGGCGAGATCGCCCACTCGCCACCCACGAAGATCACGATGTTGTTGCTGGTAGCGAACTCATTGTTGTAGTAAAACCGCTGGGGATAAAAGAATTCTAGATGAAAGTGGGATAGACGAGTGAAAAATACACAAGCACACTTAAGAAAATATATAGAAAGTAGCGCCATTTAATAGAGTATCTATTATTTAGCCTTTGTACATAATTTGTGCTCTTTGCATCCATTACATTCCTCCATAAATTCACAGCTGAACACAGGACTACCCTAAGGCATGCCATAGAACACGGTCCTGATACTGAGCCATCTACATCCATCAACTTTCTGATAATTATAATAATATGTGCTCTATGATACCTTGGTTAATTTTATTTTACAAATAACGGGACATAGACATTAAATATATAATACGTCACTTTCTTATAACTCAACAACTACAGCCTTGTATGCATAGAAGGCTTTGTGATACGACAGCTCTACATCGGTCAATCAAATAATAAAGGGTCAAGGTCGCTCCTTTATCGACGCCATTTTAACAGGTGATGTAATGTTGTTTATTTTTCGAAATGTTTCAAATTATCGCCAAATTCGTTTGCCATTTTTTTATAAATATTAATTGTAGTATAAGCGTTGAGCATATTGTAATTCAGTAGGTACCTACTTATAATATTTTTATAAGAAGGCTGAGAAACAAGCACATAGTCCACCTGATGGCAAGTGTCGAATCGAATCGAAATGCCGTTGCGTTGTCACCCCTGTCAATTATTATTTATTCTGTGCCCCTGTGAAGTAAGATGGAATGCGTCATTTCCAGTAAAAAGATTGGCAATAAATGTAAGTGGTACTGTCAAGAATCGAGTTAGTGTGTTATGAAATTTAATCTATCATATCACGTAATTCACACTGTAGCGGCGAAGTAAGAGAAAGAATCTACTATCTCATATTATAATCTCGTGAGTGTAATAGCGATAAAGAAAAATAAAACAAGAGATGTGCGACAGGATCTTCTCAGTAACAACTCAAAATAGAAAAATCTGCGGTTGCCATTCCATCTGCTGAGCGAGGCAACATGGCGACATCCCCCTTCGAGTCAATCCATGAGGAGCTCTACGTTCAGCAGTTGAATTTTATAAGCTGTAATAGATTGAAGATAGATCAAGAAAAAATCGAATTAATGAGAGCATCCACAACTTTTTCTGCCATCAAAGCTACATCGCTTTGGAATGTGTTCAAATATTTGACAGATTTCATGGAGTCAAAAGTTGTATTTTTATTTTTATTTTCGCATTCGATATTCACATTCGATTTCTTATTTATGTATATATTAACATAATACAGTTTACAGTTGTAAAGATAAGTTACTTAAAATTAAATAATTAACTACTGAATTGTAAGTCAAAACATGTGTTTATGAGGTACGTTATAATGAGTTACATCTACTAAAGTTATAAATAATTTAATAAACAGTGGTTTTGCAACCACTCATCCATGAGCAGATTACAAGAGACCTGTTACAGATTTAAAGCTAGAACAATAGTAAGCAGAAACATAAAATAGACGAGATCAATTCTTTCAGAATATCACGGATAGATCTATTGAAGACATTTGGATTTGAACCTAGAATATCAACATTTGGATATTCCTGGGATATATAATTGTAGAGGCGACACATCGTAACCACTGGGTTGTAATATGATATGTTTTTACGGTACACTTGGAGCAAAAACAGTTTAGGCACGGTAATATTATTACCGTGGTTTAGGCTTGTGGTTACGGGTCCTTTAGTGAGTGTTTATGTTAATTGTTAATCGATGCAAGCAGAAACGGAAAATCAATAGTAAAGGGTGCTATTTTATGTAGATATAATATAAGCCCGAACCTTTTGGGTCTGTATAGAGTAAGATTTGTTTCCGAAATACTAGTTATACTTTTTATTATTTAGATTAGAAATGAATAAACCAAATATGGATATTTTTAAATATAATTGTTTTAAATTAGCAACGGAACAACATTTAAATACAACGCAACTTTTCAATGGTGATGGCACTATGTGACGATTTCCGTGATAAATAAAATCAGGAGACAACCCAACTAGCGGCATCTAGTGAACGTAATATTCCTTCATTGCAGGCCTTCGGCCTTCATTGCAATAAGACGGAAATTGCAAAAGAAGGACCGTTATCCTGTGTTTGTAAGGCAATACATTTGATCTTGTTCTATTTAAGTAAGAAATATAATTTTGTATTAAAAAAGAATTTTGTGATGTCACTCAGTCTACATCACCGGCGGACGTGCTAACAAATTATAACAATAAAAATCATATAAAAGTAGAGAAAAAAGGTTGACTCGTGAAGGATTTGAACCTCCGCCCTCCGATGATCAAGCATAAGTTTATATCGGCGCTCTTACCTACTGAGCTAACGAGTCGACGTCTGGGCTTACTAGAATACGCTATTATATCTCGAGTTATGACGTCATCGTGACGCCATTCGCTCTGATACGTATTTTATACGTTTGACCGTTCCTTGTTAGCGAAGGTTGTTTTATTAATAGGATTGAAACAGAAACAAAAACTTTTTTATTCAATATTGATTATAAATAATACTTATTGAAAATCACTTTTTTAATTTAATTTACCACTGATCCGGAAAAACGCTCTGTCCTGGACCATCAAGAAACTCAGCGGGACAATATTTTTTAAATAGCTTACAATCATGTATGTTACAATTAACAACACAATGAAGATTAGAAATAAGTAGTTTGATAGAGATCACCCTTTCCAGTGATTATTATCCATAAATTCCTTAATATTATAATAACTCTTTATTTTACAAATAAAGTTTTGAACTTTGTGTAGGTCAAATTTTGTCAATTATAAAACATATTCGGTCTTAATACATAACGTGTTATATTGTAAGACTCTGATTTAAAGAATAGTCTTTGTCCCGAGCACGGAGCAGCGCCAATCTCTTTTGTTTCCAGATGGCCTGGCCCCGTAGAGCCTGGAGCGGTTATTTTCAAGCCCGGCTTCCGGATATTAATTGTAATAAGACAATTTTGGATCCACGAGACCGTACTTTAGAGGTGTAGAATCCTGGCTATAGGTTGTGTCTGTGCAAGTACTCAGAGTTAGAAAGCGCCGAACAACCGGAGATGACATGACTGACCCGGTAAACCAACTCACAGGAATGACGACAAGCTCGACAGATATCGACTGTGCCACCATTTATGATGTATCTCCGATTTATTGTTGGTCTTTTTACTAGATTAAAAGATACAGTAATATATAGTACCAAACACCCAGACAAAATTATTTTGCCTTCATTAAAAATTAGCCTGTACTCAAAAAATTGCTATGTGATGGTTATTCAAGTGTTTGATAAAATCCCAAATGAAATAAGGCCACTAGATTATAATCGATTTAGACGTAATTTATTGAAGTGGCTTTTGGAAAAATAATTTTATTCAATAAATGCACTTCTAAAAATAAAAGAACGTTTTCATTGACTGTTAAACGCTGTTTCTTTTTTAATCGTGTTTTAAAGGATTTTAATATCAAAATTGTAAACTGATGCACGTTTAATTTTACTCAAATATTGTATATTTTAACCATAAGTTTTCATATACCAATATTGGTGAAATATGTGATACATAATTATTTTATAATAACATCTATGTACTATATTTCTTGTGAATAAATTTACTATTTATTTATTTATTTATTCTATTTATATTTATCTTAATAACTTGACCCTGTATTGTACAGACGAAACCCTCAATTTCCCTGTAAAGGTCAGCAAAACTTAGGCAGTGAAGGGAGGCAACTGTGTCTACGAAATGCTCACGAAGAGCCTTTTAGAGTACTGCTGGGTCTTGCCATTGCTCGTTAGCTGAAGATAAAGAAGCTTTTCATCACACGAAATGACGCCCTTGTAGAAATGATCACCTGATCTCGCCAAGTAGTAGAAGACACAATCTCGGATGGTGCATCCTTTTGGATGTTACAACAGTGCGGAATACCTGAGTATGCCAAAGATATAATTAGAATACGCATGGCACAACCGTTATATACGTGTGTCTTATTAACACTTTTGTCAACCGTACATAAAGCATATCGCAAACTGACCGGTTCATATCCGCTTCATCGATACCTTTGTTCTGTGACATCTCCAAGTATCGGTATGTTTCAGCTTCGGAAAGGGTCCTTATGTTGATGGCCATAGATAAGTCTATGCTACCTCTTTTGATATGAAAGACCGTGCACTTGTCAGCCCGAGCTCTACTCACAAGTGATGTTTAGCAATTCCATAAAATAGGAGCGACTGGAAGCAAACAACTTTTGTCATGCCATTCCATCTTAGCTGTCAGGGGTGAGAACGCATCTGCATGTCTATGGGCTACAGTATACACTAATCATCAAGACTGTGTGCTCGTTTGGCACCGTTATTCTATAAAAAACTCAGATAAAAAAGTACGAAATTAAATTTTGATGAACATTGTCAATTTTGTGATGTCATTAAGAATTATTTAGTCTGCATCGCCGGAGATCGCGCTAACAAGCAAAATATAACAATAAAAAATCTTTTAAAATAAGAAAAAAAGCTGACTCGTGAAGGATTTGAACCTCCGCCCTCCGATGATCAAGCATAAGTTTATATCGGCGCTCTTACCTACTGAGCTAACGAGTCGACGTTTTACGCGTATAGAATACGCATTGTATTTTGAGTTGTGACGTCATCGTGACATCATTCGCTCTATACGTATATTGTATTTCCTTTCCTTGTAAGCGAAGGTTATTTATGAACATTGAAATAATATGGTACCAGAGCTTAACGTTATACTCTTTTTAAACCATGATAGCTCAGGGGTTAGGCGCTCGCTGTAAATTTTACGGTACGCGAGCAACCCGGGTTCGATCCCCGTCGGCACCAATGAGTTGTTAGTTGTGATTTTAAGTGCTGATTTACCACGTGATCGTCGATGAGGGAAAACATCGTGTGGGAACCTGCATATCTGAGAAATAAGAAAAATAATATTTCGAAGACATGTGAAGTTTTGCTAACAAGTATTGGGACAGCGCA